CCGGGCTTGCCCCGGATGCGCCAGGGCGGAGCCGCGGTCCCCGAGCTCGTCTCCGCGGCCAGGCGGCAGGGAGGTGTCCGTTGGAAAACGCTCCTGCCCGGTGCTGAGAGCAGGCGAAGAGCCCGCGGAGAGCAGAGCGCAGAACCGCAGCTCGGCTCAGCCCTTCGCTTCCTTGGCAGCCCCCCGGGAAGGGCTTTCGCCAAGGCGATTGGAGAGCCCAGAGCCCTCTGCCCTGCCTGGTGCTCCACGGCCGCGGGAGTTTGCCAGCCCCCCCGGTCCGTTGGAAAACGCTCCTGCCCGGTGCTGAGAGCAGGCGAAGAGCCCGCGGAGAGCAGAGCGCAGAACCGCAGCTCGGCTCAGCCCTTCGCTTCCTTGGCAGCCCCCCGGGAAGGGCTTTCGCCAAGGCGATTGGAGAGCCCAGAGCCCTCTGCCCTGCCTGGTGCTCCACGGCCGCGGGAGTTTGCCAGCCCCCCCGGCAGGCGGCTCCCCCCAGCAAGCGGCAATCCGGACCCCACTTGGCTCGGGTCAGTCTGCCGGCCGAGCAGCCGCCCCAACGCTCTGCAGGAGAGTGGAGCGTGGCGGGGGGGATCTTCGTTTCCAGGAGCTGAGTTAACATTTCCCTGCAGGCCCTTGTCTGCTGCTAGAGCCGTAGCCCCGGAGCGTCTCCCCTGCTTGTGGGACCCCCGTGGAGATGGGCCACAAAGGCCTGGAAAGACAGATGGATGGAGGAGCCGGGACTGCTGATGTGACCCAGGACCCCGGCAAAAGAGCGGGGAATCAATCCTGGCTCTTCGGCAGCCCAGGCTAGTGCGCTAACCACTGGGCCTTGCTGCCTAAGCCTCCTGCCGACCCCTAGTGACAAAGCCAAGCTGGGCACCGGCTGCTCTCCAGCCCCCAGAGCTGCACAGTGCAGCTTTTGGCCAGCCACCGCGTTCTCATGCTCCTGGAGGGACGCCCTCCCGTCCCAGCTACTCATGGGCCCGGGGGGCTAGTGAGCAAGGACCGAAGGCTGGACGGTCAAGCCAGCCCCATCCCAAGTAGAACTCAGAGACTGATCTCAGTGGCTGTGTCTAGACTGGCCAGTTTTTCCGGAAAATCAGCCACTTTTCCGGAAAAACGTGCCAGCTGTCTACACTGGCCGCTTGAATTTCCGCAAAAGCACTGACGCTCTCATGTAAGATTGTTAGTGTTCTTGCGGAAATACTAAGCTGCTCCCGTTCGGGCAAAAGTCCTTTTGCGCAGGCCAGTGTAGACAGCTCAGATTTGTTTTCCGCAAAAAGCCCCAGTCGCGAAAATGGCGATCGGGGCTTTTTTGCGGAAAAGCGTCCGTGCCAATCTAGACGCTCTGTTCCGAAAATGCTTTTAACGGAACACTTTTCCGTTAAAAGCATTTCCGGAAAATCATGCCAGTCTAGACGTAGCCAGTGCGTCTACACTGCGGCGCTATTTCGGGATACTTCTGGTATCTCGACACAACTATTCCGGGTCGCGACAGCGGGCCCGTGATTCCGAAATAGTTTTTGAACTCACGGGCGCGCGGTTCCGACATCCCGGCAAGCCTTGTCCCACGAGGGCGAAGGGCCGTTTCAGAAGAGCGCTTTATTTTGACATGACGTGACGAAACACGCGATTTCGAAGTGCACGTGGAAGAAGCCACGCAAATCGAGCCACGTCACACGCGCAGCTGATTTCGAAATTGGGAGCGTCTACACAGCACTACTTTCGACACAGAGCACTCCTCCCCCTTCCCTTGCTCCTCGTCCGAGGAGGGCTGCAGGCGTTGGAGGAAGCTGTCCTCCTGTTTGGCAGCATTTCGACATTCTGCCGAAATAACGGCCGGCTGTGTAGACGCGGACGAAGCGATTTCGAAATAACGTTGCTGTGTAGACGCACCCGAAGCGAGGGAGAAGCGCGCCGGAAAGGACTGCCCCCCTCCTTCTGTGCTTCGGCTGAAGGCAAGTTTGGGGGCCCACGGAGGGGCCTTTTCACCCAGGAGCTCGGCCTGGAAGACCTGGCTGTCCTTTCGGGACGCCTGCGCTGGCCGTGGAGGACTTCAACGCAGCACGGAGCAGGCCAGGGGAAATGCGGAGCAGGCACGTAAGCTCCACCGGGGTGAAGCCGGACTGAGCCGAAAGCAGAGCCCCCTCCCCCAACCCCTCCCCCTGCGTATTATTTCTG